CAAACAACATTACTTTTGAGACAATAACTTATGTGAAGGTGTTGTCCTTGGTAAAATTGAGAATTCAATTTCATTCTTCCTATCATAAGCATCTTATTGAAAGCTTTGAAACAATTAATTCTGTCAGAACTGGGTTTCATCTCCTCTGCAGTTCGGGCATGCCGCCTGTAAACCATAAGAGGGAGAGGAAACCCCTAGAATAATATTGTCAAAAGAGTTTCCATTCTTATAACAACTATCTTATTGACAGCTTTAAAAAAAAAATAATTCAGCGAGAACTGGGTTCCATTACCTCTGCAGGTTGTGCATGCGGCCTGTAAACCTTAAGAAGGAGAGGAAACCCTTACAATAATATTGTCAAAAGAGTTTCTATTCTAAAAACAACTATCTTATTGAAACCTTTGAAAAAATTAATTCAGCAAAAACTGGGTTCCATCACCTCCGCAGTTCGGACGTACCGCCTGTAAACCTTAAGAGGGAGAGGAAACCCTTACAATAATATTGTCAACAGCACTTCCATTCTAATAACAAGTATCTTATTGAAAGATTTGAAAAAATTAATTCAGAACAATAGTATTGTCAAAAGCAGTTTCATTCACAATTCAATTCTCATGGAATGGTATTCATTGCCGTATAGGGCAACGTAGCAGTTCCCGAAGGTTCCGTTTCCAATTTTTTGGCTTTTATCCACTTTCAGCAAAGACCTATTGATCTCCTTAAACGCAAGAGCATCTGCGTTCTTGCCGATGTTATTTTTTCTGGAGCTAACTTCGGTTTGTTTCCGTGAAATTTTTGCGGCAGCCACGTATTTCTCTTCGGTATGACCTCTCCGTTTTAACTTCGAATGTGATAAATTGACCATGACCTTGCCTCTGGAAAACGTATTTGCCTCTGGAGATAGTTTGTTGGCCTCGATCCGTTTTTTTGTTTGCGGCCAGTGAACTTTTTCATTCTCCTCTCCCTCTTCTGGCATCTTCTGTAGTTCTGGTCCACGAGTCTTCTCATAATTCTTCTCCTCTTGTGGCAACTCCTCTCTTTCTCCTCCCATTTTCTCCTCTGCCATGCCTTATTTTGCTTTCTTTTCTCTCTTTTTGAATGCGCTCTTGAACGATACTTTCCATCCCTTACTTGTAATACTCGCTCTCCTTTTTTGCATAACTCCTTTCGCTCGTTCGAGTCCATGTTTTCATTCGCGGAAAAGACTTCCGTTACGGAAGGTAGCACTTGGTACGTGAGAATTGTCTCTAAACAGAGAACACCCGTACTTAACCCACATATCAAAAGTAAATTCCTTTTTCCTGTCCTCACAAATTTCCCGCTCAAATTGTTATGAGTAGTTATTTTATATCAAGCGCTGTGTGATCACGTCCTTTATTCTTATAACCTATGTGATTGACAAAGGAATGTTGCTTGACAAATTTCTAGTTTGTTACAGGAAAATCGACGGCGAGATATTAACGACTCCGTTATAGCTGACAACGACATGGATCTGCACAGTTACGTTTTCACAGAAATGTTGTTTATGCACTGAAAAGTTTAAAACTTTTAGCGCAATTCAAAGGCAAGCGGAACGAAAACACACGGTAGAAGGTGATTGAGTCTTAAATGTGGACAAATGAGTCTTAAATGTGGACAAATGTCTTAAATGTGGACAACGAGGAGAACGAGGCTTCAGTGCCCGACATTGGATTTCTTAACAGGAGATCGCAAGATTTTAAAATAGGATATTTATCGTGACTGGCAGGACTTACGGAGCAGATAAACGCTTCCTTGATCCTCGTTTACGTGGTAAGTGGCGAATTTAAACGGCACAAAGCCTAATACCACCTAAGCATTTTGCATCGCTTTTAATTTTATAGATCTACCTGGATCTACGCACTTGAATATTCCTAGTTAAAAGCCACCTAAGGTACTACCCAATCATCTTTTCAGTTGTGCGTACAGTCTTTACCCTCAAACTTTGCTAATTTCTTAAGCATTTAGTTCCCAGTTTAGTAGCAAAGTACTTTACGCGTCATTTAGCCGATTCTCTCACTGGCACGAGCGCACGTTACTCGAGTTTCGCTCGTCACACAATGATCCCGGCTACGGGAAAAGAGCGTTGCGTGACGAAACAGAACGACTGTGCGGGAATGAATAAAATCTTTATTTTACTTAGAATGTCAGATGATCTCAGAAAGCTTAAACTTACACTTCTCCTGTCAAAAAAAATGTGCTGAAGACCCAATTTCATTGTAGCTGATTTTGTCTACTTTCATTTCTAGGTGGTTGGGTGACTTTACATATTCCGGCACAAGTTCCTGAAAGGTACTTTGGGCACTAAGCTTGTCAAATGGGATGCAGGGTGCATAGCATGAGACAGGTACCTCATAAGAAGCCTCCATTTTACTGCCCATCAACAAGGCGAGTTTCCTATAAAGTGTATAGCCTCACTTCATTTACTGATTCATTGCATGAACAAACCCTCCTTAAACTAAATGATACGGCCTAGTACAATGACCTACAGGAAGTGGAGAAAAGGTCTGACCTTAGCCCTCAGGAGGAGCTCCAGGCTGCCAAGAAGCATAGTTTTTGGAGTACTGTCAGAAATGAGGAGTCGTTAAGGGGTCTATTAACCAAACGTCTAACAGCCAAAGCAAGTTTGGAGCTGGGTCCAAGACAAGGACGGACCACTAGGGAGGTAGGGGTAATCTGTTGGCCAGATCTATACTCCACCACAAGGAATGAAAAACTTTCAATAAGATTCTATATTAAAAAAGTAACTGTTTGAAACTTCTTTTTATGAACAGTTTTTTTGCAGTCTATTCAATATTGATCAAACATTCAGGCAATGGCTTTAAAGTGGACTTCACTTCCCTGAAATATCTGGGAAGTTGTTTCTCTTCCATTTTTTACCTGCAAAGAGTAGTGTTAATTGTCAAACTTCCTTGATTGACCTGTACATAGGTTAATTTTGCATTTTTATTCTTCTCTGCCTCTTTGAAATTTAAGCTTGACATGGATATCATATTATTCACTAAAGTGTAAGTTGAAAAGAGCATAAAACATCAACCTTAGAAGACAATAGTATCTATGGGAAGGTGTAGTCATTGTTGAAAATAGAACATAAATTTTTTAAACCAACACAATGCAACTTCTTCATGCAACTTTAGTAAAACCACAAAAGCAAATTTTACCTTATATAGACACTAACTAAACAGACATGCTGTTTAAATCTACTAAATAATGTTTTTACCTGTTAAAGGAAATTGAAAAGCCTATATGAATTTTATATGTATTTCAGTGATTTTGTGCTTAATTTGTAGCAAGTTAATGTTAGTTGACAAATCAGTAGCTGCTTTTACCAGCAAAAAATCAGCTTGTGCTCAACAAAACAGCTTTTAAATCTGTTCAATCTTTGCTGAAAGTAGGGCCTAAAGATTAAAATGATACAGTTTAATGAACACTCACTGGTCTACTCTGTGATTGGTCATTATCTTTTAATACATAATTTATGGTGGCTCCTAAAAGAGCCGTTTGTTTTTGTCACCTGCAGTCAGTGCAATGTCAAACTCCCTGGTTTGACCTGCAGGATTTTATTTTTTATTCAGTTCTTCACTGGAATTTTAGCTGGACATCAATGCCATGTCTTTTGCCTGGAAACTTAAAAAAGAGCAAACAACATTACTTTTGAGACAATAACTTATGTGAAGGTGTTGTCCTTGGTAAAATTGAGAATTCAATTTCATTCTTCCTATCATAAGCATCTTATTGAAAGCTTTGAAACAATTAATTCTGTCAGAACTGGGTTTCATCTCCTCTGCAGTTCGGGCATGCCGCCTGTAAACCATAAGAGGGAGAGGAAACCCCTAGAATAATATTGTCAAAAGAGTTTCCATTCTTATAACAACTATCTTATTGACAGCTTTAAAAAAAAAATAATTCAGCGAGAACTGGGTTCCATTACCTCTGCAGGTTGTGCATGCGGCCTGTAAACCTTAAGAAGGAGAGGAAACCCTTACAATAATATTGTCAAAAGAGTTTCTATTCTAAAAACAACTATCTTATTGAAACCTTTGAAAAAATTAATTCAGCAAAAACTGGGTTCCATCACCTCCGCAGTTCGGACGTACCGCCTGTAAACCTTAAGAGGGAGAGGAAACCCTTACAATAATATTGTCAACAGCACTTCCATTCTAATAACAAGTATCTTATTGAAAGATTTGAAAAAATTAATTCAGAACAATAGTATTGTCAAAAGCAGTTTCATTCACAATTCAATTCTCATGGAAAATTCACTTAAAATAGGCAGACAATCTACAATGGTGATATTTATACGAATTACTTATTTCCATTGTGTAAAACGATAAAGAAGTCTCTGGCGATGACTCCCCATGTCATGAAAACTCCAATGAAAGTGAGGAATTGCATTGTCTGTAGGGTTGTCTATGAAATCAAAGACTGCCAAGATCACACCAAAGCCACAACTAGCACAACCTTCCTCAAATATTGGCTGTTTGGGCATTCCTAACCGCTGAATTGGAAAGGTGATATTCCACTGGGTTTCTGATACAGCCTTCAGCAGATTGTCAGCCAATTCATTGATGCTGGTAAGAGGACTCTGTTTTAAGCCATCATCATAGAATGCTTGCTGCTGTACCATATTTAGGCAAAGGAGACCCCTGTGGTTGCCATTTACGTGGGTTGGAGTAAGGATCCATGCAACATCACCAAGATCCATTCTTGAAAGGTAGGGCTTCAACTTTGTTTGTAAAAATTGGACATTTCTGGTTAAAGCCCAGGTTCGTGTAAATGACGGTAGATACAAGGAATGGATGGGAATTTTTTCGCATGGGTTCCTCACTGTACCTCAAACATGCAGCATCAATCAAAAAGCCACTAATGTACCTCTCAGCAGCTAAGGTTGAAAGGTCTTCAGCATCAACCATCACATCACCAATTCTAAGGATTTCTTCTTGAGGTTTAAAGTCAAAAAGCAAAGCCCTAATTTCATTAATCTGCTAAGGGATTAATGTGGTGCTTGTAGTTTTCATCCAATTTTCCTCTTCTTGGACTCTAAACTTAATGGAGGAAGCTTTTGATGCTTTCATCCAAATGTCTAGAGCTCTGCTGTCAAAGACCCCGAGATCTCCAAACTTGACTGCAGTGTCGAAATCCTCATCATCACTGTCTTCTCCAGCTGCCGCATCCATCAGTCTATAACCCTTAGTGATTGCTGATTCTGAAGGCCTGACTGGGGACTGCAGAGGATTGTTAAGATGTCCAGGATCAACAACCAGCTCGATGTTATCATCTGGAATTTGAATTACAGGCGGAAGATCATGGGTAGCAAGTTGGCCTCTGGAACAATCATTTGCAGCACAAAATTCGTAAATCATGAATAAACAAAGGTTCTGATAGTTGAGGAACAAAGGCAGTTTTAGTATCCACTGTGACACTGGACGAAGAGCTGCAACTGGAATTTGAAGGGCTAGTAGTGGCGGGGCTTGATAAGAGGCTTGTGAAAAAGCTGCTGACTGGGCCAGTGTTGCTGGAAGCTGGGCTGCTAGCTGGAATGGATTGTGGACTTTGTTGCTGTTCCAGCAAGGAAGTAAAACTGGTTAAAACTGTAGGAAAGAGCTGCTCCCACAGTGCATGATGATATTGTTAGATAGGTACACAGTTTGATGATATTATAACTCGTTTTAATACGTTTGTCAAATTCATAAGAAAGAGCATCCTTGCCAAACATTTTGTTGAACAAGTCATTCATGGTGAAAATCCAGGCCATGTCATCTTTTGACCATTAGACTTCTTTTTTCTGGACCAGCCGCAGCCTCTAAAATGGAATGGGTTACCTGACATACAAAAAAAAATATGCATTGGCAGAATAAGGGAACCAGTCACAGTTAAAACAACAACAACAAAAAAAGATTTTAACAGACTGTATTCAAGAAGCTCTAAGCTTACTGCAAGTTTTTATGTGGTTAGTTTTCTACCGCTCAAGAGGAAGAATGACAACATATTAATGTTATCTCACCCCATTCCAGGTAGAAAAAGATAAAGTGCATGGTAATGTTGTCATTGAATATAGTGTATGCTTTTTATGGGAATACACAACTCTCAGTTTTTTACATAACGTTGTCTCAACAAGGTAGAATACATTGGACTACACATCTAAGGGACTGACATAAAAAGAAGTTCCATTATGAATTATAATGTTTCTAGCTGGCAAACATTTTAGAAGATAATCACCATTTTCCATGTTCTCTATAGCCATTCTGAAGCAAAGCCGCAGGAACAGCAACTTTTCAGAAAAGAAATGTTGCAAAATCTGTTGGACTTAATATAATGAAATAAAGTTGATTATTCAAAAGTGCCAACAACTTCAATACCACCAAGAACATGTGCTATAAAATTCAAGTAGAAATTTAAGTGATGAATTTAAAATTCAAA